TGATTGGAAATAGACTGCAGATCCTTGTGCAAAATAGAATAACTGCAGACGTGCCCTGCAAACATTGATTTCATGATAATAGCATGGTTAAATTGATTGGAAATACACTGCAGATCCTTGTGCAAAATAGAATAATTGCAGACGTGCCCTGGAAAAATTGATATCGCTCTACGAATATCATAATATGAATTTTACTTTGAATATTATTGCATAATATATGCATTTTGCGATTACTTATGCATTGAAATTTCCTATAAATGCATAAATATCTCCCCAGTCTAATTACTAAATGAAAGAAAAGGCACAATCGTCAAACGAAACGTATTTATTTATTCATTTATTTACTCATTCATTTGCCAAGGAAAAGAATACCGCATAGATTAAAATTCTCATATATTTCCAGGATATATCTGCTCAGAACTCGGCTCGGACTGTAAATCGTCTCTGCAAATCCTCTTTGCAAATCATCTCTGCAAATAATTCTTTAAAAAAAGGGAAGTAATTTTTCTCGAATGAAAGAATGCTACGACCATCATAATCGTCCCATCGCGTGTCGACGAGCGCGGTTAGGGTGGAAATCGCTATGGAATAACATCCGAATATTATTTCAGCGTTTCGGCTGGTGAAACCGGTGCCCCGGAGTCACAGTTTTCCTGAAATCGTGCCAGAGGCAGGGACGACGCATGTGTGCGTGTGTGAAGGGGGCCATACACGCACTCGTCACGCATACTCCCCCTTGGCAGAGTTAGCTAGAGGTTAGCGCGTGTCTGGCTGCGCGTAGCGGCGATGGCGGGTGATGCACTTTCGGGAAAATCGTGCATGCACGTGGCAACGTCGCGCCGTAAGCTCGAATTCCACGTGACCAGGACCGGTTTGCGGGTGTCGACCCACTAACACTCGTCCGTCGCAGATAAACCGTGGCCCTGCGGGCGCAGGGTACACCTTACTTGCTTCTTTTTATTGCAAGTTGGGAAACGTCGCCACCGATTCCCTCCCCCTCCCCGGTCTCTCTTTTATCCTAGAGATCCTCCCCTCCTCTATCGCTATCGCTGTCCGTCGTGAGTCGTCGACTACCGACCAAAATCTGGCAACGTTGTCTCGCGGAACGTATCGAGTTTTCTCGCTTTTTAATGGAAACTTCCCGGGGGGAGAAATTCTACGACCTAATAAGGACGAGGTCCGCGTTCTCGCTGCGGTGGTTTCTGTTAGCGAGAATGGATTTTTGAATTTTAACAACGGACCGGTCGATTCGGCTCTGTCGGACAGAGAATGTCTGCTGATATAGCGTGGTAAGCTATAAAGCAAAATTTACGCTATCCGTTGAGTGTTAAAATTCATTCTTAGGGGTTTAGGAGCATAGAATAGAGAACAAACGTCTTTATGATGTAACATTCGGCGTGCATTTATCGCTCTCGTCTTATCGTCATCTGAAGATGAATATTTACTAACGTTGTTTGCACGGCTACCCATGTTTCGAACTATGGTGTTAAATGTCGCGAATGGATTACTGTACATTTCATTTTATTCGTTATTCGTTATTCGTTATTCGTTATTCATTATGATTCGTTATTCATTATGTGTTATTCGTTATTCGTTATTCGTTAT